CGCCGCTTTTCCCCTCCCACCCTCACTTCATTTCTCTTGCAGACAGCAGTAGTCTCTCTTGGACTAGAAGCCAGCTCCCTCAGTCCTGGGCATTGCCGCTTGTCTAGTGCTTGCTCAGTCTCCTGAGTGTCTACTGTATACCAGGCTCTGTTCATTTGGGCAGTGGGGACACAGGCGGGTCCCTGCTTCAAAGGAGACTGTGTGTACGAGTGTGTTGCTTGCATGTATGTCTGTGTACCACACATGTACTTGCTTCCTAGGGAGGCCAGGTGTTGGGTCTTCTGGAACTACAGTTACAGATGGCTGTGAGCTGCCATGTGGGTGCTGGGCATTGAACCATGAGTCCTCTGGAAGAGCAGCCAATGTTTTTAGCTGTCGAGCCATCTCTCCGGTTCTAGGTGTTTTGTTTGTTGTTGTTAAGGCAGTGTCTTATGTAGCTCGGCTAGCTGTAAAAAGTTCTGATGGACTTTTTGTCCACCTCCCAAGTCCTGGCATGTGCTACCACTTGGGTTTCTTGTTTGTTTTTCAAGACTGTTTCTCTGAGTAGCCCTGGCTGTCCTGGAACTCTCTTTGTAGACCATGGTACCCTCAAACTCAGATCCACCTGCCTCTGCCTCCCAAGTGCTGGGGTTAAAGGCGTGCACCACTCAGCCTGTTGTTTTCATTTTTTTTGAGACAGTGTCTTTTGATGTAGCCCTGGCTGTCCTGGAATCCTAAGGTTTTCTATGTAGACCAGGCTAGCTTAGAACGCTCAGTAATCTTCCTGTCTCTGCCTCTTGAGTGCTAGGATTGCCAATCCAGTATGTGACACTATGCCTGACTCTTTTTGACACAGATTCTTACTGTGTAGCTCTGGCTAGCCTCAAACTTTAGCACGTTAGCTCTTCCTGACTCCATCTCCCAAGTGCTAGGATTATAAGTATGAACTATTGAGCCCAAAATCATTAGGAGTTTAGTTTATGCAAAACTGGTTGGTAGTTCAGGTGACATGATTCTACTTAGGCTTTCAGAAAACAGTCACTTAACTTTTGACTTTCCTGGTTCCAAATGCCACTGCTTTCATACAGTCTAGTTAGTCTGTTTCGATGGCCTGGTTGAAGAGGAAGCCCTGCCCTCAGAGTCTGATGGCCCTTCTGCACACATTGGCATGGCATGTCCCCCAGGTCTGAGCTCCACTGGCTTCTAGTCCAGAGCAAGCACTGTTCTTCCCGCATGAGCCTTGGGCCGGCCGGCTGGCCACCTCTTCCCTGCGTCTTTCACTCTCTCCTTCCTGTCTCTCTTTCTCTTTCTCTCTCTCTGCGCAGATATTGTGGGCACTCTGAGGCCAGATGAGAAGGCCATCATGACTTACGTATCCTGCTTCTACCACGCTTTCTCGGGGGCCCAGAAGGTGAGCCAGAGTGGGAGGACCCCTCGATGCTGTGGACTCAGATTTGCCCTTTCTGTCATGCTCAAGTCAGCACCATAGGCCACCTGTACCTGGTAGAGCCCCGCTGAGCTGAAGAGCCTCGGGCCATCATGGTCTTGGGAGCCTGAGGCTACATCTGTACCAAAGCCTCACAGACATTCTTGCATTTGAGCATAGCCCCCCATGGTAGATGGTGACACAGCTCTAACCACAAACAGGGAATAGAAGTCTGGTACCACTACAGATGAAACCCCTGGTTTGTTACAACCTCTGTCTACTTCAGGGCCACCTGCCTGGTGAACCTCCTTTCAGAAAACTTTTCTAAGAGCAGGCTGCCTCTGGAGTCAATGTGGACAGGAGAGGGGAACATGTGTGTCTGTTCTGTCCTTCACCGTCCCCTTAGAGGTCTGGGCATTTCTGTGCCCTCCTGGTCTAAAAAAAATGGCTGGACAACAGGAGGGATGGATGCTTGTTTTGGGGACATTGACCTCACTGGGCCCTCTCCAAGGCCTTTACCTACCGAGGTCCTAGCAGAGCTCTAGTACACACCAGGGACCAATGGAGGCCATCAGACCAATCTGAAAGAAAAGGAACCTGAGGCTCAGACACTGCACCCGCTGTTTTCTGTGACTACTGCCCTAGAGTGTTAGCATCCAGTGGCTGCCTCCCGTGGGCAGTCTGGCCTGCCCCGCCCCTGCTTTGCCCTGGCTTGGCAGCATGATCTTGGATAGGTTACTTAACTTCGGTTTCTCTATTTATAAGATGAGAATCCTATTGCCCCTCACAGGATTTTTTCTAGGCATAAAATATGAGCTCCAGGGCTTAAGGCAGTTCACGGCAAAGCTAGACTACCCAGTTCTTTCCAGACCTCCCCAAATGGCCATCTCTCAGCCCTATCTATCTGCCCAGCATGGGTTAGATCCTGTGTCTGATGTGTTTTGCTGGAGGGACTGGGGAGGGAGGGGGCTCCCC